ATAACAATAATAATTATTTCCTTCATTAAACATTGTACAAACCTAACCTAATGTTTATAGTAACCTTTCCTACATGGGCATGTCCAGGTTTACAGTCAATAAAGTATGGAGATATGTGAGGACTTTAAAGTTGTTGTTACATAAAACATGAGACATAATGTCACCCTTACACATATAAATACCATTAACCATGGTTAACGATGGTGTTTTGCCACACTGACTTACTTGGCTTTATTCCTGTCGTTCCAATTGGAACATAGGGCATCTACGAGACGTCTCCAGCCCTGTCTTTCTTCAGCCAGAATTCCAAGCTCCCCCCAGGACTTCCCTCTGCAGCTGCCTCCTATTTTGCCACACTTATTAGCGTTTAAACGTTCAATAATAAACTACTGTAAATATTCCTTGTGAAAGTAGACTCAGAATATCACAAGAAGTTTTTTCAGATACATAAGGTTTTAATTTAACAGTATATCCCCTAAATAAACTAGTACACATCGTACGAATCTTTTGGCGTACATAATAAAAGTCCACCAGTGTTTTTGCTAGACGAATTGGGTTGTCAAATTGGTGAATGCCTATTTATAAAGCTAGCATACAAAATAAATTCGAAACTTTTCAGGATTATTTAAAAATCTATACTATATTATAATTACATATCAAGCGATTCATACTGATACCATCAATACTTAATCTTAAACATTACGCACTTTCTGTGACCCTTACTTGTGCGAATAAAAATAGTACAACTCTTGGCCATGGCATTTATATGAAACTACTGTGAAAAGGGTGTTACATCGAAAATGAGAATCCTAAAGTAATTGTGTGCAGGGGGAGGGGGGGGGGCAAGGCCTCCACAATAGAAGTAATGAGGTGATATTTGTGAAAGACGACAATCATTCGCTCTAACAATCCTTTCCATTTCCTCCCCAAATGACAGGGCGGCAACAGTTGGTCTGATGTAATTTCATTCCATTAGTTCACACTCTACCAAGTGATAGTCTGATTTCCCACCTGTGGTCTGCTATTTGTTTTAGGTTTCAGTAGTGTCTGTAATTAAACATTCTGCAAATATTGCAAATATATAGTTGCATTAAATAATATCCTTAAATAATAAATATTAAATAATAAAGGGAGATTTTTCATTATTATCTATTGAATATAATGAAGATAAATAATATAATAGTATTCATAGTATCATAGTATAAATACATATGATTGAATAAAAGCTACTGATAATTCATATTGTCTCCAGTCGTTAAAACATTTGTTTTAAAATACACAGAGGTTAGATAAAGAGTAACATAGTTAAAACCTTTCTCTAAACCTTATGAATATGTGGTGTGGAAATGTAACTTTGTACTCTAGCGTGGTATCCACTTTACTATCTTAAGGAACACAAAATGTGCCTAATCGAACTGTTTACCAATTGTCAATTTTGAAAGGGAAGAGGTCGTAAAGTATGGGTAATATTTTTACCGATGAGTTGAAAGTTGTAAATAAATATTTGGTAAATGACCGCTATTCACATCAAAACATGTAATATAAAACACCGTCAACTTAAAACCAACATAAGCCTGCTTTAACATGTAATGGATCCCACTGTTAGACACGAGTTTGAACATGTTTGCCAGTTTTAATTAAAGCAGGATTTTCAGATTTCCAGCTGAAAGGATCAGTCGTGGATTACAGAAACACGAGAGAGTTTGTTTCAAAATATTTCATCCCTCTCTGCTATTTTTAAATAAACGAATGCTGAAAATGATCTGCGTTATAGCAAACTTTAAATTGATAAAAGTTTATCGGTTACTTTTTCAATCAGTGGATGTTGTTTGAATATATTGAATTGTACTGTAGATACCAATTTAATAACTCATCTTAAACTGTGGAATATAAATTGACATTATATCAGTAAATCGTTTTATTAACATAAATTGTTTACATATACTTGGCTTGAAGTTATTAAAATCATTTTTCGATATATCTAAGAATTCAAATCAACAATAAATTCTATTTTCTTGTATTCACATTAATGCACACTCATACATATATGAAAACAATATATACAAACAAATATTTGGTGATTTATTTGTATTCTCACCATTTGTACATAAGTCAATGCTTAAATGTATTACAACATTGCTATGATATGTGTAATTAATTACATCATTTACCAATATTTTGTTATGTAAAGCATCATCAGTAATTTCAGTTGAAACATACAAAGTAATGGACACAAAACAATACGATAGTTAAAATATTTTAAAACTCTGGTTTTATATTGTTAACGTTTGGTAAACTTGGTATTAAAAAAAATATACTTATTTGTACTGAAAGTTTTGATATCTATAAAAAGGACACACACTTTATTAGTTAATTGCATTAATTACTTTTTATTATTAATGACCACTTTGATAGAGTAATTGTTAATAAAATGTGTGAGGTATTTACTTTCTTTTTAAAAATTAACTACAGCAATGGCATAAATCAATAGTATTTAACAGAAAGAGTTCAAAAAAGTGTATGACTGTCATTGTTTAAAACCGTTTTTCAGGCTTTGTTTCAAGACTTCCCAAAATCTTTTTAACCACAACAAACCATTGTGGAGAAACTCATTTCATTTATAATTTTCTGTGTAATCAATCACACGAAAAATGTTATATACATTGCTATGACGATGCATTTCGAACAAATACATCTGAATTTGAACATTTCACATGGTGTTGAACTCTGTCCATTCGCATCAGACTTCTGCACAACCTGTTGTCCTTCGATGCCCAAAAGCCCGCCAAACTGTCCGGTGAATGTTGGGGTGGTCAGTGCCGAAAACTGTGTGGATCTCCTTGGGAAACCAGATCTTCTACAGTGTTGTCCGGCCTTGCAATGAGCCGCAGCTAAACACATTGCCACATCTGGCTAGCAGCTAGCGGCTGGCAGCTGAATATAGCCACCCTTATCGTAATGTGTTTGCTGTAAACATCAAGTTTGATTGGCGTCTGCCAAGCCAATCTGCGCTTGTTTACAGCTGTTTTACGATTGTTGGAGTTGGGCCCAGATTTAAACCTTCAAAAAGCTCCTAAAATTTTATTGGAATCAAACCAATGATCTGTAATTGATTAGTAAGCTATTAACTCACCTGCTTGGGTTTTTAGCCTGCAATTTAGCTGAATTAAGATTCAATTTGTATTACATACCGAACTGATAAGTACCTCACACTGATTGAGCCCAGTGTCATAACTGCTAACCGTTTAATTAACGTGTGTAAACTGATACACACAAGTGGTACATGTAGGTCTCTAATCTCTGATGGCATATTCTTATACAGGAAATTCACAACATAAAATGCGTTTGTAAGATTCTCAGCTAATACATGCAAACCTGCATTTACAGCTCATCTGCCTCTGGTGGGATAGTTATGTGTGACTATCAGATCTTGGTTGGAGTAGGTGTAGACGTAGAACAAGATGTATGGAGGAAGGTGCAAAATAAGGTGCACCCTAACAACTTGGCCTTGTTTTACCTGGCCTGTACAAATACAAATCGTAATTTATCAGCTATTTATTATTAATTTTTTTAAGATGTTCGTAAAAGGTGTTTGATGGATAATTGTATATAAAAAATGTGTTCTTAACGTTTTTTTTTTTATGAAATCAGAAACTTAAGCTCATACAATCTGCCAACAGGCTACAAATTTAACATAAAACAGTATCTCTAGCTTGCTTCATTCCCGTACTCGGACAGATCGCCGCTGTACAACTCTGCCATCGTGTTGAGAAGTGTAGGGTGACATCCGCGATCTTCGGTCTGTCTTGCGAGTACTCTGCCGTATTTCTGTATAGTGTTTAGGTGCAATCTTTTAGAAACCGTCCCTTAGAACACACTTTCTTGCTAAATATATAAATGTTTAGGGTTGCGCAAACGGATAGGTCAGCACGATCAGGCTTTTGACTAGTGTAATATATGTTTATATTAATTGTACAAGAAGCAGCATTTGATTTTATAATGTTGGTTGGATTCCAGATGTTAAAGACTTTTGTTTTGTTCTGATTGTTAATTTTGTAAATAACAATAATTATTGAGTTGTGATTGAAATGGAGAATAAATTAAATACACTAGATTTTATCTTGTTCTTATAAAATATTACAATGGCGCAGTCGAATTAAACGGACCTCGTTCCGAGTGATAGTAAGTCTAGTAAAAGTAAAGTTTTTTTTTATACCAGATTCTGAAGAAGATAAAGCTAAACTTCAAGAAAAAAAAGGGAGGTAAACTTAAAGACTAAGATGGCAGGAATAGGTAAAGTTGGTGAATTTAACCCACAAGATGAGTCCATTGAATCATATGCAATGAGGCTTAAGCATTATTTCAAAGCTAATGAGATTGATGACGATACCAAAGTTTCTGTTTTAATAACTGTTGTAGGCCCAAAAGTTTTAACAATTTTGTCTGATTTAGTTTCACCTGCAGCTGTAGATAGCAAAAGTTATGAAGAGTTAGTTAAAGTGCTTGAGAACTATTTTTCTCCAAAGAAATTGGTGGTAGCTGAGAGATATACTTTTTATTCTCGTGTGCAAAAACCTAGTGAGAGTATTTCAGAGTTTGTTGTAGCGATTAAACATTTAGCTAGTTCATGTAAATTTGGCACATTCTTAAAAGAGGCTCTTAGAGACAAGCTTATTTCAGGGATAAGTAATGGGGTCATAAGGCAAAAATTATTGTCTGAGGATCAAGAATTTGATGACGCTTATAGTTTGGCACTCAGATTAGAGCAGGCTGAAAAACAGACAAGTTTGTTCAATCCAAAACAGGAAATTTGTCATTTAAATTCCAAGCCCAATTCTTCACATGTGAATCAAAATAGGCAGACTGGTTGTCATTTCAATTCAGTTATTGGTGCTGGTATGACTAATATTAATGCTAAATTTAAGTGTTACAGATGTTGTTCAGTTGAACATAGGGCCAATGAATGTCCATATGCAAATTATAAGTGCAATGGGTGCAACATGGTTGGGCATCTACTAAAAGCTTGCCGAAACCAAAGTAAAGTTGCAAAATTTGGGAGGAAGGACAAGTCAGGTGCTAATAGAGTCCATCAAATCTCCGAAGATGATGTCAATGAGCTTAGCTCAAGCTGCTATGAAGTTTCAAATAATGTGTGTTTGTACAACTTTGGATTAAACACAGGTATGGCAGCTTACAAGGTAAGGCTAACTATAGAGAAAGTTCTGGTGGAGATGGAAATTGACAGCGGCTCAGCTGTATCAGTTTGTCCTTCAGACGTTTTTAATGAACATTTTTCTCATATTGAATTAAAGCCTGTTTCTATGAAATTGCGAACTTACACAGGTGGTGACGTGCCTGTTCTAGGTCAAGCTGAGGTTAGAGTTTTATATAAAAATCAGAACCTAGTGTTACCACTATTGATTGTTGAGGTTTGTCGTAAAGACCAGCCTATTTTGCTTGGAAGGAACTGGTTAGCAAAATTAAAGTTGGATTGGCATGCTGTATTTTCAAGATCGTATGATACTACTGGTACTAAATCTAAGTCTACAGTGAATGTTACCACATGTGAATTGAAGCAATCTAATTGTGAAGTTGTGTTGCCTAATGGCAAACTTGAGGCTGAAGTAGAGGCGTTAAAGAAAAAGTACAATGCAGTGTTTCAAGGGGGGCCAGGAGAAATAAAAGGTGTTAAGGCTCAAGTCACTCTCAAGGACAATGCTGTTCCTAAGTTTTGCAAATTTAGGCCTGTGCCTTACTCGTTAAGGGAAAAAGTAGAACAAGAATTAGATCGGTGGGTTGAGGATGAGATAGCGTACAGAGTTTCTAGTTCAGAATGGGCTACTCCGTTACTTACAGTGCCCAAGACTAATGGTGTCCGATTGTGCGCAGACTTCAAAGTAACATTGAATCCGGTGTTACAGACGGAACATTATCCATTACCTCAACCTGAGGATATATTTGCTTCTCTGTCTGGTTGTACATATTTTTCAGTTGTGGATCTCACTAATGCTTTTCAACAATTAGCTGTTGCGGAGGATTCACAACATCTGTTGACGTTAACAACTCACAAGGGACTATTTCGACTAAGACGTCTGCCATTTGGACTTTCTTCAGCTCCAGCTATATTTCAAGCTGTGATCGATCAAATTATAAACGGATTACCAGGTACTGTAGCCTATTTAGATGATGTTTTGGTTGGCGGCTCAACAAGAGAGGAAGCCTTTTATAGATTGGAGAAATTGTTACAGCGTCTTATGGAATTTGGAGTACAAGTTAATGGGAGTAAATGCAAGTTCTTACAGCCTGAAGTGGAATATTTAGGCTACGTCATTTCAGCATCAGGAGTCAGTCCACAACAAGGTATTGTTGAAGCTATTCAAAAAGCTCCCGAACCTACTAGTAAAGACGAGCTAAGGGCTTATGTTGGTTTAATAAACTATTATGGAAAATTTATTCAAAACTTGTCTGCTAAAATTCATTGTTTTTATGAACTGTTAAAGAAAGATGTTCCATGGAAATGGACCGAGCAATGTTCTCAAACATTCAAAGAAAGTAAATCTTGGGTTCTGTGTTCTGATGTTTTAGTACACTATGATCTCTTGAAACCTTTAGTGCTCACTTGTGATGCTAGTCCTAAAGGAGTTTCTGCCATTTTGTCCCATATCATAAACGGAGAAGAAAGACCTATAGCGTTTGCATCAAAAACACTGAGTGCCAGTGAGAAGAACTATTCACAGCTCCACAAGGAGGCGTTGGCACTGATCTTTGGAGTGAAGAAATTCCATAAATACATTTATGGGCGTACCAATTGTATTTTACAAAGTGATCATCAGCCACTAGCAGCTATTTTTGGATCGAAGCGAGGGGTGCCTAGTTTAGCTGCTGCTCGCCTACAACGATGGGCCCTGATTTTGTCTGCCTACAATTTTGAGGTAAAATATCGGAAGGGTTCCAGTTTGCCTCACGCTGATGCGTTGTCACGCTTACCACTACCCGAGAATGAAACTTTGGAGTTGGATGAAAATTATATATCTCATGTGGAATCTTGTGTAAGAGAAATGAACTTCTTCAATTCGGGGAGTGACGATTCTCCAATTACTTCTATAGAGATAGGACAATTGACTGATAAAGACCCACTGTTGTCTAAAGTTCGGGATTTTGTGTTGTATGGGTGGCGTGAAATTGTAGACCCAATGTTAATTCCATTTCAGAGAAGGAGAGATGAATTGTCAGTGGATAAAAATTGCATTTTATGGGGCAGTAGAGTAGTCATACCTAAGAAATTGCAAGGTAAAGTCATCCAGATATTGCATGAACAACATCCTGGAATTACTCGAATGAAATTGTTGGCACGCAGCCACGTGTGGTGGCCTGGGATCGAAAAAGTAATTGAGGATGCTGTGTCATCTTGTTTGATTTGTCAAAGTACAAGAAATGCTGCTTCAAAAGTTCCATTGCAGCAATGGCCGTTAACTTCCGAGAGATGGCGCCGAATTCATATCGATTTTGCTGAAGATCCAACCACCAGACAGCAAATGTTGATTGTAGTGGATAGTTTTTCAAAGTGGATGGAAGTATTTTTAATGGGTTCTATTTCCACGGGGAAGACCATTGAGAAACTTCGTACACTATTTTCTGCTTATGGTTTACCTGAGGAGTTGGTGTGTGACAACGGCACGTCTTTTACCAGCCTAGAATTCAGGGAGTTTCTTAGAAAAAATGGTGTGAAACTAACATTTTCTCCACCATATCACCCTGCCTCCAATGGAGCAGCCGAGCGTTCTGTTCAAGAAGTTAAGAAAAGTTTGTTAAGGCAAGTTTTGGGTGAAAAATCATCTCAGCAGACATCACTGCAGTATAAATTGGATAACTTTCTTTTCGCATATCGTAATACTCCATCGTCAGTAACCGGTGTGAGCCCGGCTGAACTGTTCTTACGTTGGAAACCTCGAACAAAATTGACTATGTTAAAACCTAATCTACTAGACGAGTCAAGGAAGAAGCAGGAAATGCAGAAACGAGCCTCAGATAGGCATAGAGGTGCGTGTAGATTTTTTAATGAAAATCAGAAGGTGTTGGTTAAAACAGTCAGACAGGAGAAAGTTAGTTGGGTTCCAGGTCTTATATTACAGTGTAAAAGTCCAGTTACTTATTTGGTTAGTGTTCTTGGCAAAACAAGAGTTTGCCATGCAGACCATCTTAGACCAACTGAGGTAGAGGAGGACGAAATCATTGTGCGGAAAGAGGAAGTTGGAAGGACTATTGAGGCACATCATCAAGAATTCAATAGAGATTTGCCTATTCTTCAGGAGTCTACATCACCATCAATATCAAGACATGATGCTTCACCTTATTTGCCTAGATTGAAGTCTGATGTTGGGAAACCACGGGGTGTGCAATACAGTCCATCTACAGTTTTGAGGAGATCACAGAGGACTGTGCACAAGCCGGAGAAATTGGATCTATAAAGTTAGAGAAGCCAAAGAGTCAGAAGAAATTTTAAAGTTTTAAAGAATTATGAGCCAAGCAAATTTTAAGTGTTGGCGAGTGTAATATATGTTTATATTAATTGTACAAGAAGCAGCATTTGATTTTATAATGTTGGTTGGATTCCAGATGTTAAAGACTTTTGTTTTGTTCTGATTGTTAATTTTGTAAATAACAATAATTATTGAGTTGTGATTGAAATGGAGAATAAATTGAATACACTAGATTTTATCTTGTTCTTATAAAATATTACAACTAGTAAATTGACAAACAGTGATATTATTGTCTACTCTCTAACACAACTCTATGGTGTAGGTCTCACCATTTCATGGTGGGGTGTTACTCACGAAGAGCAAGACTAAGAAAACTAAAGTGGAGACTATATGAATATATTTGAGGGAAAATGTAAGTTTGATAGGTTCGGGTTCAACCGACGAAATTTTCGATCAAATAAAAGGTAGGCTTGATTTCTAAGCAGGTCCCAGCAAGGTCGCCGGCTTGATCCCGATGTAATTATGTGGGCTTCTTGAAGGTTCTAAACTCGGCCCAGCTATCATTAGCATATATGTAGGTATTTCCTTAATTATCTTCACCATATAATATTTCATTACAGAATCATGTCTGAATTGGTGATTTAATGTCATTTTGAATCTTAAAGGGCGGTTCGTTCAACGTTTTCAACTTAATCACCATCAGACCCAAAAGGTGAATGATGTAGTTATGCGTATTTACTGTATTTAAATTAGCAGTATAAGTAAATAAATATTTTGGTTTCATTTGTTATTAGACATATTTTTATTTATTTTCCGTAGATTTAATAACTCTCTCAATGCTATTCTAGAAGTTATTAAATGATTTAGAAAGTAAGGAAAATACTCTGAGGAGTTAACACTGACTGAACTTAATTTTCCTGAGACAGTGGTGATGTAAATAAAACTGTAACATGCCAGTTGTCAGTCACCACATAGTCTTCATGTCATTATTTGCCACTAATTACTGGCTAAATTTTAAACCGTTTAACTTTAGATAGAACAAGCATCAATTTAGCTCTCATGTTTCGGTCATATCCTAGTGTTATCGACAAAAATTTTAATTTTGATATATTGTTAACAAAAATATTGAAAAATAATCTTGGCGCCAGTTCTATAGGGTTTTGCTCACTTGAATACTGTTCATATTCAGCAATGAATTTGCTGCTCTAATTAACGTATTGAGGTTATTTGCATACATTTTGTGAAAAAATAACTGAAAGGCTAAACCTGAAAATCTTTATTGAACACTTTCAAGATAGATGTCAAAGGTTACAAGATTTTCATTTATAAAAATACCTTGTAATCAGCAGCTGATATATAAATGAAGAATTAGGTCCATGAGCAAATTACTCTTTATGGATGACAGCCAATTTTGTTTGCAATTAACACTGCCAATAAAACAAAAATCTTTTTATCTGCCGGAATTCAAGCATTTAACGATTTATAAAATGATGTATTGATTAACCAGACGTTAAGGTTATCCGTCTGCATTTTACCTTTTTTAAAGTGTAGCTAACAAAAATGTAATGCACTTTGTCTTTTCCGTGTCAATATGTGAAATAAGTCTGTGCAACTTTATTGCATGAGGCCACCTGGTTTCGAACGAGTTAAGATTTATAAAAATTGTTTCAAAAGTCGTCAACCTTGGACTGTCAGTGGCCGGACATAAAAGGAATATGATATTGGGTCCACATCCGTAGTCTGCTTATGGATAATGCGTTATGACTTTGACAGGGCTTATGCCATATAATTGACAGGAAGAACTCTTGGACTGGTGACTGGTGATTGCACTCTGTCCCTAGCTTTAGGTGCAATGGTCTAAAACGTGAAAACACTTTTTAAGAGAAAAGTCATAACATAATAATAACTTCTATTAGAGGTTGGACGTAGATAAAATCTCGAACCTACTTGTTCTGTCTAAATCCCAACTGTCCTAGATCCAAAACGTTTAGAATATTGTCAAATAATCCAAAAATATTTTAATAATTTCGAAATTAACTTACATTAGTATGATAAAATATTTATTCTGTTTTTCAACCCTGATTTTTCTGTTCATAACTAGCCTACATAACAATTTAAATACTGTAACTAGCATTTAGCTCGAAATGCATATTATAACAGACTTTTTTGAAAACTTGAAGCTTACATGACCATATTTTAACGATGTGTGTAAGCTTAAATGCTTAAATTGTTAATCAAGTTTACAAAAACCAAAGCAATATAAACTATACTATATACCCATGGTGTCGAATAGACATATTTTCGAGACCTTTGTTAATAATACATTATTTTGAGTAATACACGCACGTAACGTTGGTTACTGTTACAAGAATACAGTAGAGAAATTATGAATTATTCATCGCTGTGTATATCAGAACTAAAATATGTCCCTTAACATTGAATATGGCTTGTAGGACAGTTCTTCAATGCAGACGAAGTACTCATTGCATGAGATAGAACTCGAAATTTTTCTAACTTCTAGATCCAACCGAGCCCCTAATCAACTCGTATCAAATATTTTCATTAACATTCAGTATTGTTCCATATGTGCAACATACTTGCACTGAAAGAACTGATTAATACAAACGAGGTTGGAATCACACAAAGCATGTGGTCGAGACAAATTATGGTGAATTCAATTCACCAGGAAATTTATGTTGACAAGTCAAGTGTAATAATTATTTTCCAGCTTAATGTTCTGTAAGATCGAGAATCTTTTCATTTTTCTTTTTAGACCGACCTTTCGCTAAAAATATTCGACAATATTTAAGTAAAAATTGCTTAATTTTCTTACAATTTCAACTTAAGAGTAGAACTGACAATTTCTGAGTTACAATTACAACAATTAATTCTCTGAGTAACTATATGAATCTTCTTATTCGTCATTTATCATTTAAAATTTATCATGAACTATGAAAAAAATTTTTCACTTAGAACTGTTATTATTGTGTCTGAGGGATACTGGTCTGGTCCTAGCTGTATCGATTCTGGATCAGGTGCCACTTGTCATTGTGTTCCCAATAATGAAACTTTGAACTGACAAAAGTTATAAACAACTTTAGCAAGAGGAAGTTGATAAATAATACTTTTAAAGCCATAAATGGCGTTGAAATATGGAAAAGACTACAAAGGTTATTCAGTACTCGCAGGAGTAAGGATTTTAATTTTTTAACTACGTCTTCAGGAAGCAATTATAAATTATCTATGTTTTCTCAGTTATGGTATTGAACACTTTAAAATAACCACGACTTATTTAAATCCAAACCTTTAATTAATAAATTTAAAAATATTAAGTCAAGAAACCGTATATTATATGGAATTGTGTAATTTTAAGTATTAAATTACATGACAGATTATTCAAATATACCATGAAGAATTTTAAACTAATTATGTCTGTTAACCACTAACATACACGTAGTCAATGTACCTCACACCACACTCACTTCACCGCTGTGACGTCACCAGCCACACCCATATCCTGGCTTGGTGACGTCCTGGCTGTCACAAGCGTGAAACCGTGACACTAAACACAATCAAACACTTGTTAAACACACTAAACACCACAAAACAACACGAACATCCACCGGGGACCAAAGTCACTGACAGACTGACGGAGCTCTTAGGTGGTTATGTAACAGTTATGTAATAGGTCCATCGGCCTTACGGGGAATGGGAAATGGTCGAAATGGTCATTTGAGGGGGTAATGTACCTTATGAGGTGGGTAGGTGGTAAAACGATTTTTGGAGGGGTTAGCGCAATTCGATGTTTGCCAGGTTGAGCATCGTGGATGCTTCTCTGGCTGGCTCAGTGACGTCATGCACAAGAGGTTGACTACCTCATGGAAGTTATAGGTATAACAAACAAAGTCTACGTTTTGATAATCACACTACTTTTCAAAAGTGCAAAAGGACTTCTTGGCCTATTGTAAACCCCGATGCTTATTTTCATGAGAGTTTCTTGTTAATAACGCTTTATTTTGCTGATATCGACTAAATATTACTGTTTTGTTTTAAAATTTGTATACTTAACAGTTTGTACGTTGTTCTCTGGTTATACCATGATTACCAAACAGCAGTTGTTTACAAAATATTGTTAATTTAATTTAGTACACATTTTTTTAAAGTTGAATTAGGCAAAGTGTAGCTCCTCCTGAAGGTGGATTGATTTAAAAGATTTATAACGTCGGTCATTATTTTTGCCAGTTTGATATCGTGGTTCATATCCAATACTAAGATCTGATACTTTCAGGATGGTTAAATTACTCTGAAAACACACTGTAGACAACAATAAAGCCTTTCAACAAAAATCGGACAAAATTTTCTTTGTGATTGTGTTGTTAATTCATAGGATACTCTGTCATATATTTAACAAAAGGGGGTTTTTGGATATTTTTAAGTTTTCCATAATATTTTCCATGTTTTTCCTCAGATAAATCAATTTCACTAGTTTTAGCGAATTTCCCTATAGGGAATAAGCTATTACCGTAGGTCTCATGGTAAGACTTAGTCCCGGGACCGATTTACTTTTTCATTTTGATGTCCCTAGAAGCCAAAAACACCATCCGTTCAAATTCATATATATATATATATATATATATATATATATGTCCGTCAGCACGATAACTCGAGCAAAAATGATCCGATTTTGATGAAATTTGGTACAAACGTGTAAACCTACGTTTATTTGAACGAGTTCGCGAACCAGCATGATCGGACCATGGGAACGGGGTTTTATGGGGTAAAAATTGGTTTTTCTCATTTTTCACCCTCAAAACATAAGATTTCCCAAATTTCCTCCAAACCATTTTGAAGAGCTTTAAAAAACAAATAATTCAGTATATTGAAATGTTTTTGTATGGTTATTGGTTACGGATAAAATTGTAAATTAAAAATTCCTATGTTATTCTTATGGAGAATAAGTAAACTGTTGTAGTTTGCTTGTTTATGCA